AAAAAAAAAATGAGGAAAAAAGACGACCAACATGTGGTCACCATCCAGTATAAATAATAATTATTTACAAAAATATCCAAATCCCAAAATATTACATTCCAAGACCAAGAGCTGCTACCTAACATCTCAAATCCTTCTTTCCAATTCTTAGAAACAAAAAAAGAAAAATGACTCCAGACAAAAAAACCTTTCACCACATTCTCTCAAAAAATGACTTCTGCCATAATCAATACGCCACCTTCTTAACACGTTTCAACTAAAAGAAACATTTCCCATTAATACCTGTTTCGCATTAAACTCAAAAAAGTTACGAAGAAAGTAGAATTAAGTAATAATTGACACCTACACTAGCAATGACGCTTCTGCGCTAAACACAGTCAAAAACCTAAAAAAACAATTTCTACGATACTTGCAAACTAGAAAAATGAAATAAAACAATTACAATGAAAAAACCGACATAACAAACTGCCAACTTCTCACTTTCGTATAAAGGAAAACGTTCTATAAGTCGTTCCATATTTATAAAAAGCAGCACAGAAAATTTCAAAAATGACAAAACGTGAAAAAATTAATAATGACAATAACAGTAATAACACCAATAGCAATAATAATAGTAATAATAACAATAATTATAATTATAAATATAACTATAATAATAAACAAAAAATCCAGTACCAGTTTTGAAACAAACTCGTAATCGAAAAATGAATCACTAAAAACGAACCGAGAACATCAAACGACACAACAAAATACTTTTAAAAGTCCAAGAAGCAATCATTTATGAATATACTTCCCACTTCTGTTGGAACACTCTCAACGAATCAGGGAGAGCGAGTCGAGCCAATGCACATTGACAATCTAAAAGTAGAGCAACTTTTCGTTTAATGAAAAGTTAAAAAAATTTAATTGCCAAAATTCCACAGCATTAAAGCTGCTGATTTAATTCTTAATTAGGGAAGCACAAAAAGTACATGCTACGATTTCGTTTCGTTTCGGTTAGCCCTGATAAAGACTCATCATTCCTTTTTGTAGGAAAACTTCCATCAGATGCAGCTAAACGGTGAGTTTTGGAGCTACTCGGTTCAGAATAATTTTCAACCGATACTTCTCCACCACCGGTTGAACTGCTATCTTCCATTGCACCACCAAACAACTGTTCCAAGGCAGCGTAAACGCTAAGCGGGCGATGGGCAGGCATATTATTACATACGGACAACGGAACACGTAATGTTTCATCCTAAATTTTCTTAAAAGTAAAAACACTGCAGACGAATATATTCACTTAGGAGCAATTGATAAGAGAAAAGTTTCACTTGATTTTCTAAAGTTCGGTAGTCATAATGTAAATGAATTGCCAAAAAACTATACTGGAGTATAAGTATCTTGAAACCATGTGCTTTTCCTTATCCCATCCATATCAAGCCTTTTGTCAGGATCTTTCTCTAACATTGCCGTCAACAGTGATTCCAAAGCTTTGGAAACACTGACACTTTGTGGCATCTTCAGTGGCTGGTTAGCAATATTATCAAACAGGCGCATTATCACGTCACCTTCAAAAGGATATTCACCACTAACCAAATTGTACAAGGTAACGCCAGAAGCCCAAATGTCTACTTTACGACCCCTAAAAATGCCATACCAACAAATCTGTATGGAAATAAGAAGAAATAATGGAACTAAGAGGAATGAATAAAATTTGTGAAGAACCACAACACTAGCCTGTACTTCTCAACAGTTCCAGACACTATTTCGGGTGGCTGAAACTTCGGTGTCCCTTGAGCAATTTTGCACCAATCATCCTTGCTATAACGATCTAATAATTCAGCAACTCCGAAATCACTAATTTTCAGTGTTCCGTCTAAAGACACAAGAAGGTTTCCCGGCTTTATATCCTTGTGGATTACCCCTAAAAAAGAGCCAGGTTTTCGGATGCGCATCAATATCTTATTTGTAAGCAACATATTAATCTACATTACTTGTCAAAATCCCTAAATTCGAAACCTTGGGAATGAAGGTAGCTTAGTCCATCAATTAATTGAGTGAAAAAGAAGTGAGCTTGAAATATAGGCAGTTTTTTTTCTTTGGAGCCATCCAGCATTTGCTGCAATGAACAAGCTGCATACTCCATCACCATATAAAGCTTTTGTTTACGACCATTTCTGAAAACATCACGAAGGGAAATCACATTTCGGTGATGGACTTTGTGTAAAATTCGCAGTTCCTGCTCCACATTGGCCTAAAATCAAAATTATTTTGTTATCCTGTGCGTTGAATAACAAACCACTTTGTATTTTACTCTTCAACCTAATTCGTATACAACAAAGCTAGAGATTAACTTTCAAATTAATAAACATTAAAGGAAAGGAGGGAAGTCAAAATTTAAGAGTGAAATGGGTTATATAAAATGGCTGAATAATAATAAATGAACTGAGAAATCCGAGCATTTGCAAAAGACTCACACGTCCATTGGGAATTTTCCTCAGCCGCGCAGCCTTGATGATTTTCACAGCTCGTCTGACCAAGGTTGTAACTTCAAGGACCTCTTTAACTTTGCTGTACGATCCTTCCCCTATCGTGTCTCCAAAGAGATACCCATTAACGATTTTTGGCTTTTTTTCCGTAAAGACCTCCTCAACTAGCTGAACAAAAAATTTTAAAGAACTAAGACAAAAGGAAAATATTTTTTGCAAGAAGGAAGATAATAAGCAAAAATAAGTCCAAACTAGCACTGCCAAATTTGGGTCATAAGACAAAACATTTTGAATGCCAAACATCAAACCCACATTCTTATAAAGATTAAAAAGTATCTTAGAGCAGTAAATTTGAAAAAACTGAAAAAAATTAGAGAGTAAGCGTTTTAATTATCTGAGGCTTTGAAGAGTCTAACGCAACAGAGGAAAGATTTTGCTAACCTCCTGCATGCGATACTTCAACATCAATACTACTTTATGACTCCTGATATTGAATCAGAGCAAAAGACAACTTTACATTATCCCAGTAAAATGCACCTCAACTACTAAATCAGATAAGCTAGATGATCATGTCAATTTCAGCGTAATTATCAAAAAAACTTCTCTTAAAATTTACCAAAATTCACCGCACCTCCTGGAAGATGGAGACAAAAACAAAAACCGGTGGAATTCATGAGCTAGTGGAAAAAAATAAAATTAAATTAAAAAGGAAAAACAAACATTATCTTCGTAAGACTGGAAAAGCCGATTACAGTCAGCAAAAAGATTACTTAGCTTTGTTGCCAAGTCTGGTTCACAACTATGCATGGATTTAGCAAAGCTCTGAAACAAAACCCACAGTTGGAAAATGTAACAACATAAAGCGAGATAAAATCAGATGAAAAAGTTTTTGCACTACTGACCATCACTGCCCAGAACCATATGCTAAAAATTGTAAGCATATGCGCAAGAGCTTCCCTTAACCAACAAAAAAAAAAAACTAAATAGGCAACAGCAATTTTCAAGTCTTCCCATAGAAAATCTATATAGGCCCTGAAAACCCCAATAAAAAAAACAGGTGAATCTTTACAAGAGCTCCATCTGTGGAATGGAGGCAGTCAGCTTCCCTATCAGCCCGAAAGGAAGATGGCCCTTCTAAAGCACTCCATACGCCAACATTTCCTCGTAGATCTTCAGGATCACTTTCATCTTCACAATCATCAGCACCCACAGTGACACTCTGCAGTGAATGATTACAACCTTCATCGGAAAATGGTAACATTGTTCCTTCTGTGGTTAAACATATATCAGGCGTAAACGTGGGAAATAGTAACTAAATGTTACATTACAGAACCAGTGCTACAAAATACTTGTAAATACCAAGTTGGTGACATGCCACTGCGCATTATCGTGCTCAGACCGCATTGCGGTACTCACTTTTGAGCTCATAGATCTGCGAGATCCTCCTTGTTCAATCTGCCGCTACATCCAATCTAGCCTACCAGCACATATTCCGGAACAGGCAACTGTATAAAAAATAGACACTTGAAGTAGGAAGTTCTTTGAAACAGAGAATATGCACACAACCAAAAGCTTATATAACAATTACAAGAAGCTAATTTACGTCACAGTCAAGAAATCGGAAAATACTTCATAAATGCCAAGTCTTTTCTGACACTTAGGAATTTTCGGGGTTTATCAAAACTTAAAGTTTCATTACCAACGTAGTCAATGCAACTAAAATTGTGAAATATCTGTAGTTGCAATTACAAGACCTATTGACGTCTCTTCAAGCACAACGTCTACTAAAAACAAAAACGTGTACACAAAGAGAATAATTTTCAAACTTAAACTCTTTAAATAAATTCGTTTGCAGTTTAGAGGCCCTTCTTGTAAAAATGTCACATGCAAGCTCCCCCACATTTCTACCAGACCGGTTTGAAGGCCTCCCCAGAGTTAACACCCGACTTTAAACTGTGATATTTAATGT